CTACATCTAAGCGCTCCCTCTTCTTTGCTTCCAAATATGCCTTCCTTTGGAATAATCTTCCGCCTGAAATTAGATTATCGCCTAGGTTACTGATATTCAAGTCGAAATTACGCAACCATCTTACACCGGAAAGCATAAAGGCGCTGTTAACGGTCTCATTCCCGAACACTCTGATACTTGACTTCGAGAAGGATCCTCCTGGGATTTAGTGGTAGATTAAGTGGTAACTCTTAATTATATCATTAGAAACACCTGTTTTTAATTGGTTTCTAAACCCATCGCTATCCTTCCCACCCACAGCGACAATTTTCGCGGTTTTTGATGTCATCTCCCGCATTCCGACCTCATGCGGTCTGTCGACACCCACGGCGGTACCCTCAGTATTCACTGTCTACTAGTAGTTCGGTCGTACCTCCCTTCCTCACTGCTCGGCTGAGCTCGAAGCGTGCTGTGGCCGATCGCATCTCGGTTCCTCTCGCCTGGCCTCTTTGACGCGGCGTACCAATCAGGCCCAGACGATCTCAATTGTGAATCCCGTATACAATGTCATTTGCAAGCCATTCCTATCTGACTGACATAAGTACCCATCAAGGCGGACATTTATTGCTACCCTGACGATGACCGACAACATTCCGTTATATACCGCCACCTACAGGCCAGTCCTGCTCGCTTTTTTCTGTTATTATTTTTATGGAGGGGTTTTTTTCTCCTGTAAAATTAATCCAATAATTTTTAACTTTTTCTTAGGAGTTTTTTTTTCATCCCTCAATCATCATGTTTCTCAATGGACTTCTAATTCAGAAACTATGAATTGCATTTTGTAAAGATTCGGCCTACCTCGTCTAAAACTCGCATGCAAATTTATTTTAACTTGTTTTGATGGGACCCCGACGGGTCTTTAATAAAAATTATCTATCTATCTATATATTAACGGAAATGAAAATTGGCACTCATTGGCGGACGCATTAGCCACCTTAAGCCAAAAATCACAAGCAACAGCAAAACCGACGATGAGGTTGCATACCGGAGCTTAAAAGCCCCCTAATTCTTCGGTCGGATGCAGGACTCAGTTTAAAATCGCGCGGCCTTCGTGTCGAAAATTTAGGATGCTCAGGTCTGTATTCCCAATAGCGCCTGGATGTACTACGCCGAAAACCGAAAGAATCGAAACCACCTTCACCACAGTTACCTCTGGAGGATACTGAATCTGGCATAGAGACAGAAGATCCCCGACAGTGAAGTTCTGACAAGATTCAGAATCCGAAGTGTCCAAGCGATGCTGAAGCAAATACAACTTCGCCGCAGAAGAAGTTTAGGGAGTATTCTTGATATACGCGAGCTAATTTGGGATCCCTTAACTTATCGTTAACGGATTGTCGATCTGGTACCAGTTTTTACGGCCGATTTCAAGCATTTCTTAAACATGCTGTGTCGGGATCTTAACAGATGTCTTCTGCAAGCACTGAACTACGCCTCCAATTGTTAAGTCTTGTGGTACTGAGGAAAACAGGGCAGCAGCCTCGGAAGACAGGGCTCATTCACTACGAGAGACTGCAGGTCTTGGATCCTGTAGAGTAATGCGTGAAGGCTGCTAATGTTGTAATTCAATTCTTCAATAAGGTGCTTTGAAGGCATATAAAGTTGCTTGGGAATATTGCGAGTAGTTGATGCTGTGAGTGATGATCTGGCCCTCACTGGGGATTCCGTCTTGTGCACTTTTGAAAGACAAAACGCGGCTGCAATATAAGGACCACTGGGCTAATCTACTTGGGAACAGCTGGACACATAACTGTCAGACGAGGGAAATTAATGAACTTTGCTTGATGGCTACCTTATACTTTTTTGTCCGTACTCCAGTGAATGATGCTCTGCGTTTTTGTCATTGAGGATCTTATTCACCTCGGTAAAATAGTTAATCTTGCCAATGACGATATTGGCGTCCACTTTGTCAACAGTGCAGAAGCAATAGTGATATCAGAAAACACACGCAGTCTTCTTTGCTGACTAGTGCCAACGGCTTCGCTGCGTATGTCTGCGCGCATGTCTCCCAGAAGGGTAAATGGGGGTAGAATGGATTCAGGGCCGGTTAGAAAAATGGTAGACATAATGTCTGAGTGACTAGATCTTATTCCCCTTGCACAAGTATCTAGTTTTCACGTATGTTAGGAGTATTTTCGAAACGGTGACAGCCCTCATTTAGACGATTCTATCCTCCAGGATGTGGAAAGGAACGTGGCATTCCTCCCGAAGAAAAATTATTTATCTGTCTTGCATACTAGGCGATGGCCCATGTTTTTTACAACACACAATCGAATATGTATTTGAGTATGTTTAAAACGCACAAACGAATAAAATTGGAAGATTTGCATCGACTTTGGCTTCGCTTAAAACGCACCAGCCTCATTTTTACGCAGACAGACTTTCAGTCGTATTCGGAAAAGTCGACTTGAAGAAAAGATGGTTGGCAGGACGTCATAATTGTTGAGCAGTGAAAAAAGTAGGTTAGTCAAAAGTCATCGTTTGGCTCTTTGTAAAGTCCCCTAAAAGTCTGGCAAGAATAATTGCTTGACACCCAGAAATTTTGCAGGACAGAGGACCATTTAATAAACTGCCTTTCCAATTACGTTTCTCATGGATGATTTTACTGCCAATGGTTCGAAGATGTTAGCTACGCTCCAACAGTGATGTCATTTTAGATCTTAGCTGACTGTTGCATTGCCTTGAAAGGTTTTTTTCATGCATGTGGAGATAGCGCACAGTTACGAAAAGAGGCCTTCGCAATTTCCTAGCATATCTAGTGCTGAATGTAAACTGGTCTAGATCTCGCTCTCCCGAGAAACACCTGTAAAAAACAGGTTACCGACAGCCGGACTTATAGCGAACCTGCAGTGCCTTTCTCTGACCCGGATCTGCATGAATAATCGAACAAGTCGTTGTTTTAATAACCCACTGCACTTGCACCACTACGAACAAAGGCATGTTTCGGTCCGTTTCTCGTTCATGGAAGGCTCTCGGGCCACTTCTGAAGACATCGACGCTTATCAGAAGGTCGATACAACCGTCATGCATTTTGCTTCGTCCCACCGTTTTAACATCCAGTCTAAACAGGCGACTTTTTTCTTCCAAAGGTATGCAAGTGTGGCTTATTTATATATCCATACAGTTGACCGACAATTCTCGGAAATTCTCGCTGAAGAAATTAAACAGGAAGCGGAAAGTGCTTTCAATTCTCGACCACCAAGTGGCTTTCAAGTCAAGAAGTGCGAGGGAACCGAGGTCTTCCTTGAGAAAACCTTCCCCGATGGCGTGTAATATACACAATTAGGTGTATTACTCTACCTGTAGAATCATGGAGGTTGAAATGGACCTTGCTGGGAGTATAGCTCCAGAGGATATTGACGAAGCCGATGAACCAGTAAAAGAGTCTGAGGGTCCGCTTGACGCTCGGCCGGAGTTTAAGATCCGCTTGAAAAAGCCAAGCGGTCGTACAGTTGTATTCCACTGCAGCTTCCCCTCGAAGTATGCCGAGGACGCTAATCCTGGAACTGAGCAACAATCGAAACTGCGTAGGTTTTCCGTTATTTACTAAAGTGCACTAGCGACGTTCTCGGTGGATATGGTCGAAATGGAGCGTTTGCCGGGGTACTTCGTCTATACTGATCTGTTCGATGACGTAAGTGCGCTTACTTTGTCTTTTACTGGCATCAAATAAATTGCACCCTCTAGTAAACTTAGATGTGTCGTAGGTGTCTTTAGTCTTGATAGTTGTCCCTGGCCGTCTTCTTTTAGAATATGTATGAGCACACCGTGCGTCTCTTGACCGACCGTGGTATCGATAGCGACTTCCAACAGCAGCTCCAGGACTTCGCTACTTCAGAGGAGCACAAGTTGTACACGTCGTTCTTGGAGGAGTTCAAGTCGTACTGCAAGGAATAAGTGGTAGCGTCTTGTCCGCAGTCATCTTCCTGAAACATACATCGAATTAATACTTCTTTTTATCCCTCTCTACATTTTTCCACTTTTCGTTCGTTGTCATGTGTAGAACTAAGAGATGGATATCGTTGGGGACCCAGGCAGAAAGCTTGTCTAAAAAAGACTGACATATGCCAACGGTGCTGGTCCTGTTAAGTATATGCAATTTTGTGTGTAGCATTAAATCTTGCGACGACTCACCCATGCCACACGGAGTGGGCGTAGCACCGGTGGATTAATCTTGGCTGACAGGATTGCGCGACCTCAACCGCACCGCCTCCTCACTCAGCCACCTTGCCCCGCTGGCGAGAAAACATCGAGACGACCGGTGGGATCAGGCACAGTGAGAACAAGGCTGAGCAGCCCGCACACGCGTGCCATGCGCGGCCGCATATCCGTCCCGGGTGTTCCACACTTTCATAGGAGCGGCTAGGTTTTCACATTAGCCAGGATGACATAAAGGCCGCACTGAGAGGCCATTTAGCCTGACTCTGAGTCCTCCATTCACTTCATAAAAGTGCTCTCAGGAGGACTGCGTTACCCCCTACTTTGGCAGCTATCCAAACTACGACTCTGCGCACCGTGATACATTCAAGTACGTCAGGTTAATTACTAGTGAATTCTTTCTCGTTCTACGCACCATCTGTGCGACGTACGCATTCACCGCGAGACGGCTGGCTTATATGAAGAACGATCAAGGCTCACCAACTCCTGCAGAGGGTTACGGATGGTCTGGCCGAGCCAACAGACTGACGATTCCACCAACATAACCGTGGGCTTTTTGGTCATGGAGCAGCGTATCAGTTGGACCGACAGACCACCGGCTATGTTACATAGCGGAGTCATCCCACTCGGCCTACCTGGAAGGGGTCGCTAAATCCGGCATCAATAGCCCACAAAACGCATTCGGCAAGTGGTTGCCGACCGAAAGGCCTTACTCGGGTCTTCTTGAAGCAAAACGGGTGCCGGCCAGATTAGGATGGACCATGGAAAATTTAGAGGGGAGAGCCGCATGTGACATACCAAGACCATTCTTCAGGCGAGGAGTTCCCGTTGTTCAGAGGTGGGACCCACTATGGTCGGTTCATCGTGTCGTATAGCCTAATCTTGGCGCAGGGCAGCTATGAAAGTTCCAACACTGTTCTATTCCTAAGGGAGTCCCCGTTGTATGCATCCGAAAGCGGGGAACAGTAACCATCCGGCGACACTGTCGTGGTACCGTCGCCTTTAATGTGGACATTTTCGGGAGTTTCGTTTTGCAACCACATTCCCTGTGCTGCTGCTTCTGGACAGCTTGGCACGGCTGCATCCCGAGCCAGCTGTTTAAAGGCAACGGGCCAGTTATATTCCTATCAGCGGGACTTTCATATCCGTTAAGTCACACTGCGCCCTGCGAGCGTCAACAAGGAAGACGGGCAAGGTACGGATCTCTCATTATTGCAGTATTGAGAAAATATGTGTAAGGGTAGATGAGTATTAAAAGTTGTACAAAAGATAACCGATAGGGGTTAACTAGCTGACGAACAGGCGGGGCCGACGGGCGTAGAAAGCACTCATAGCAGAGGGAAGTCGGTGCCTGGAGAGAATCCAGCTGCAGAGATTAGAACTGAACGAAGCGAGAAACTTTCCCCCATCGGGTCTGCCGGCGAAGTTACCCCACCCTCGGGCAGAGGCCGAAGACTTGCCGATTTCATGAATTCCGTAATCGCATGCCGAAACGCCGATGTATTCTGTGTGAATCTGGAGATATTTAAACAATATAAGCATATGGAGCTAATTGTGGCGTGAGCAAAAGGCTGACTGGACTAGATGGGCAGAAAGCTAAAAAGCGACTATGGATTTGTTTGACGACGACCCGTTCAGTTTTCACCTAATGGACCCAAATCTATGGTCTAAGTAGAGAATCACTTCACGTAGCGAGAATATCAGCAGAAACCCGAGGTAGCTAGATCAGAACCGCATGAAGTCGGATTTATTCAGTTGGGGACAAGTGGGCTGAATGAGACCACAGTCAATAAATGTGATGGGTCCATTAACGTAGATCCTGCGACTGAAACGTTCAGCAAAAGCGACTTGGGTGCGAGGACGAAATTCTGGATGAGGATGGGCATTTGGAGTTCGGTTAGAGCTAATTATCCGCACATCTTTTGCAAGCGCAGACATACATTAGATAAGAGGTTAATAGACTTTTGGCCAAAGCAACCTCTGTGACAGCATTGAGAGGTTCTACCGCCCAGAACAGGTTGAAAAAGTGTGCAGGCGGAAGACACAGCATGTGGAAGTAAAGATTTCCACTCACTTATCGCGGTTTTTGGCGAAGAGATTGCCTTCCACGTCGTCCATAAGTTTGCTGAAAAGTGCCTTCACTTCTGCTCGTTGGTCGGGACTTACTGCGTTGATGACAGCATTTTGGAGGTCTGTAAAATACTGGAAGACAAGACACACTAAATATATCCACAAATGAGTCCTTGGTGATAAGAACCGAAATTAAGTAGAACAGCAACAGGCTCAGACCACGGACTGCAGAAAACTACGCTCAGTATTAGTGCAGAACTGAGTTGTCTGGGGAATCGTGTAGCCGGTCCCTAAAACGGCGAGGAAAGGTAAGAAATAAACTCCGGCTGCATCGCAATAATGGTATTATGAACGTGTCAACGGCTATGGGAGGGAAGGCGGACTAAAAGCGATGATAAAATGCCACCGTCCCGGGACCTGTATTTTATACTATACGGCCACTCCAATGGAATGCAGTGCGGGAGAGTAATGAAGTCAACTTAATCATAAAATGCGAGGTAGACGAAGATTCTAAACTGTCATGGTGACGTTACAGTAGGTATTAACCCAGTCGTCATGATACGGCGAACAAGTGCATTCAGGTTGTACTTGATAATAGATCAGACAGAGAGCACGCTGACTCCTCAGCGTTCAAGCGCCTTGACAACCACTTCCACAAAACTAATAGAAGAATGCGAACATCGAGAGGAAAGCGATAGGAGTTCAGGTTCAAGTCCTGAGTCAGGAAGGCGTCCTCATCAAATGGCTGGCAAAACACAGCTAAAAAGCGTGGGAGCCAGTCGAGCACCAAGACATACCTCCTGGTTTAGTAGGATAAGGCCAAGCAGCGGTCTAGACATGCCCCATTGATTCTTGCACTCCTCATTCATAAAGGCTGCCAGGAACGTGACCAGAAGACGACGAAAAATGAGGTCTATGGGTCGTGGCCCCTGGCCCGCGACCGACTGCATCAGGCGTCGCAGATTGGCGTTGCCCAGGACTGCTCGAGTGGACCAGATTGCCAGGCCCGTGGTGCCGTGCTGGCGCTGTTCTGGTGGCAGGCTAGCTAGGCGCTGTCGTGCCGCTGCAGCCAGACAGCCTGCCGGTTCTGCAGAGCCGCCAGTAGTGGTGGGCATTTCGACGAAAATGAGACGACGAGGGTCAGAACCACCTGCACTGATGCCACCACCACCGCCTCCACTTCCATTGCCGTTCATCGCGGTCCTGTTGGAGTCACCCGGCTGCGTGTTCAGCAGCTTGTAGATATGTGTCAGAATGTGATCCAGGCAGAAGCAACTGCTTCCGGATATGGAGACGTCTTTAAAAGGGAAGAAATGGAGGTGATGAATAAGCACAGTACAAAGACATTTTCTTGTTGAGTAAGGAAGCATTTTTCGAGGTCAGATCTATCTCCGAAAACTACCACAGTACGAGCAGTTGCTAGTCATACTCCTTGAAGTGTGATTTTCTCAGGAGGCGAGTGGCGTGTGATTCAGAAAGTCCGCGCAACTACCGTTAACAAGATCACAAAAGCACTAGACTTAAGGCAATTTCTACAGTCGCTCACTCAAGTTCTCAGAGGCAAAAGCCTTGGAAAATAAAAGGATTGCCGACTACTTCATATAGGTGCGATAGACGAAGACCGACGACTGAAATCAAGTGTAAGGGCCAAATAAAGTAGTTCAGAAACGACAGATACGACTCAAAACTACAGAGAGTACGGATGCAACAGAATGCGAGAGGAGGCCTACTCGGAATGTTGGTGCCCACTTTGAGATTTATGGCCATAAGGCACGCGCAAATAAAGTGAGGGCTGGCTTCGAGCTCGAAGCACTTGACTACGCGTTTTCTTATTGACTGTTCAACAGTTTGAACGAGCCAACAGGCTATAATCGCGTGCGGCAAAAGTCCAGTGCCGGAGAAGAGAACCAAAAGACAAATCGGCTGCCTGGGGGCTTCTGTGCAGGGACGACGAGAACCCCGAGAGACGCGGCCTGCCCAGCAGGCTAGTTTAGGGCTGATAGGCGTGTCCATGGGCTGCGGATAATGCGAAGGCCCTTGACAAAGTGTAACTGAAAAATGAGTGGTCTTGCGAGTCTGACAAATAAGTTCCAGGCGTGGCAAATTGGTTGTCTACAAGGTTTGCACGAAACAGCAGTATTACAGCATGGCTAACATTCCTTGTGACGTCTGATGCTGCCTAGCGCAATTCTGCACACCTGAACCGGTGTACCTGAGGACTGGATGGAGGCGTCCATGCTAGAGCCCAGGAAACGCGGGAAAAATCCAGTTATCAAGCTACGCACGCAATCTCTGTTCGACGACTCGCAGCTAAGAGGAATTCATAGATGATAGGCGTACTATGGTTCACGCGCTCTAGTCGAACCTCTCAAAGGCTCGTGCCGTCGGGAGGGGTTTCTTACCGCATAGCATCAGCAGAAAGACAATGAAATCAAGTAAGGTGGAAAACTCCAGAGCAGGCAGCAGACTTACCCAGGGAGTCGACGCCGACAACTATTGCATCAAAAACTCGTTGAAGGACCGTGGCGTCGAGGGAAGTGAGAAGTACCATGTGATCTTGAGTGAGACATTCAAGCAGAGAGAAGTAAGCCCTTGCCAATTTGGTGAAGCTCTATGGATGACGCGAGAGGGTAGATAAGGAGGGCTTTTATCGTAGCGAATGAAAAAAG